AATACCCCTCCCCTTTCCCCAAGAAAAAGACTGGTCCATCTGGTAAAAAAAATGTAGAAAATACCGGACATGTGAAATGCCCAGTATTTTCTGCTTTTCCTGGCTCAGGCATCTGCTGAAACACGTGCAGCTCGAGCTGGCTGGAGTGGAGGGGAGGATGGAGCATCCCAGGGAGACTTCAAAATGGATGCCTTAAAAGGGCAACCCCTCCCCTTTCCCCAAGAAAAAGACTGGTCCATCTGGTAAAAAAAATGTAGAAAATACCGGACATGTGAAATGCCCAGTATTTTCTGCTTTTCCTGGCTCAGGCATCTGCTGAAACACGTGCAGCTCGAGCTGGCTGGAGTGGAGGGGAGGATGGAGCATCCCAGGGAGACTTCAAAATGGATGCCTTAAAAGGGCAATGCCTGCTCTTAAAAGGACTTTTTTTTTTTTTTTTGGTCAAAAGTTTTCCCTTGGAGCACCAGCACCTTTTTTTTTTTTTTTTTACACTGGCCCTGGCTGTGACTTTTTTTTTCCTCAACAAGTTTTGCTACTATTTGGGGGGAAGGGGTGGCATGAGGGTTTCTCAAAAATCAAAAAGGGGGTGTGATGCCAAAAAGTTTGGGAACCACTGTTCTAGTAGATATATTTTAATTTTAAAAAATCACAAATATTTACTGCCACAGTAAGCTAAAATAAACAGTCTCACGCAAAAATATATCCTTGAGTATATGTAGAATATATATTATTGACCCAGAAATCATGGATACAAGCATTTTTAAGACATATGGTTTGACTTGTAACAAAATATAACAGAAGTCTTATATTTGCCAAGAAAAGAGAATATGGAACAATAAGAAAAGTTCTAAATTTCATACTAACTGAATTGCTTACACCCCGAATGCACCAGTTGCATTTCTCAGATAATGGCAGTTTTCTGTGATAGCAATCCCTTTAGACTTAATCTTTAGCAAGCCATTTCCGTTACTTTGGAGAAAAAAAGTAACAAACACATTGCTGATCTTATAAAACTGCCCCTGTGCTCACAAGATGCACTGATGTTATGATCTCTGTATCCTACCCTATGCAGCATAAGAAAGTCACTTCTTTGAGGGGACCTGGCAGGGACTGGTTGTTGGACACCACACAGGGGAATTCTGTGTTCAGATGATAGATTATAATTCAGAAAAGATCCAAAGAAAATAGGTTCGTTCCCAAGGTGTTGGAGGGAAGTAAAGGTAAGTGTTTGTTAGATCAATTCTTTGCTGCTGGTTGTTTTCCCTCTCTCCACTTCATATTCCAGGGATCTATGATGGGTGCCAGTAACCTATAATTCCCCATGTCGTCTCCTGCCACTTCAAATCCATAAATGGATGACAGCTCCTCCCATTATCTTTTCCCTTTCTTAATAATCTATCCAGCTCTCGCTGTGTTTGTGTTTCTCTCTCTCTCTCTTTCGGCTGCTCCCTACCTTTCCCCATCTCTTTCTATCCTTAGCATCTCCCAGGACTGTAATCTCTCTGGATACTTCAGTCACACCCACTTGGATCTGGCTGTTCCAGGTCATTAAACAGTAGAGGGGCTGGAATGGTCAGTGAAGCACAGTGCTGGGGATAACCAGGTCTCTGAATCTCCTCTATCTACTCTCTGCTAACAGGTGTGCATACACAGTGGTTTTGAGAGGAAGATGTCACCAAGCCCAGAGAGCAGAAGTTTTATGACTGAGCCATGCACAACGTTCCTGCCTCCCACAATGACCGACTTTAATCATTCTAATACAAATAATGGGAACGAATGCTCCAAAGACAGTTTTACTGACATCTCCATTAACAGCGTCACTCTGCTCATCTGCCTGTTGGGGCTCATGGGGAATGGGACCGTCCTCTGGTTTCTGGGCTTCCGCATTAAAAGGAACACCTTCACTGTCTACATCCTGAACCTAGGCATTGCTGACTTTGGTTTCCTTCTCTTCCTGGGTGTTTCCCTTACAATGAATATGATGAATCATTTCTTCTGTTTGGATTTAGAATGGAGGCCTTTTCTGCTGCTGTTTCTGTTCACATACAACACCAGCCTGTATCTCCTAACAGCCATCAGTATTGAGAGGTGTATCTCGGTCTTCTTCCCACTCTGGAGCCGATGCCGCCGCCCAAAGCCTTTGTCTGCCCTGGTGTGTGCCTTGCTCTGGGTTTTCTCCTCCCTGCTAATTGGACTAGTTTGTCATTTTTGTCTTCTTAATCCGGATAAAAAGTGTTTAGTGACAGTCATATCCATGAATATTTTCAATTTCCTAGTTTTCACTCCCATCATGGTTCTGTCCAATCTGATCTTGTCCATCAAAGTCCGATGTAGCTCCCAGCGACGTCAGCCAAGAAAACTCTATGCTGTTATCCTACTCACCATCCTCTTTTTCCTTGTTTTTGCTGTTCCTCTCAGCATTCAGTGCTTTATGCTGTATTTTAATTACTTCTTATTCTCCAATGAGACATGCTTCATGCTGGCGTCACTAAACAGCAGCATCAACCCAGTTATTTACTTCCTAATTGGGAGCTACAAAAAACGGCGATTCCAGGGGTCTGTTAAAGTTGTGCTCCAGAGGGTCTTTGAGGAGAAGGCAGATATCAGAGAGGATGGAGAGACTCAGAGTGCAAACCCAATGGAAATGGCTACTTAAATCCCTCCAGAATCCAACCTGGGACACCGTTTTCAAGGGATGAAGAGTTACCGAGATCACAGAATCAAAAACATTAGAAGTTGAAAGGTCATTTCCTAAGTTTTTTTCCCATCCCCACCCAGGGCACAACCGTTCCCTAGAATGGATCCCCTGGGTTCACTGCAGTTGTAAAAACACAAATGGGTCACATGGGGCCCCATCCTGCCCCCTTTAGAATTAGTAGGCAAAGTCCTATTGATGTGAAGGTGAGCAGGAAGAGCCCCCATTGTGGTCCCATTCACACTGTTTCAGAAATGTTATTGATAAGGAATTTCACTTTTGGTGGCAAGTTTCTCCTCAAATCACCAGGAGAGTGCTACTGTCTTTTCCATAGAAACCTACTGTCAATAACCATTCATAGTCTTAGTTTTACCTGCCATTTACAGGGAAAATGGGTAAGTGAGTAGTTTTGTTTGGAAGGGGTCCCATATAAAGAGAGATTAAAAAGTTTGGGACTTTTCAGCTTAGAGAAGAGGAGACTAACGGGGGGATCTGATAGAGGTCTATAAAATCATGACTGGTATGGAAAAAGTGAATAAGAAAATGTTATTTACTTATTCCCACAATATAAGAAGAAGGGGTCATCAAATGAATGTAATAAGTACCAGTTTTAAAACAAACAAAAGGAAGTTTTTCTTCACTCCGCGCACAGTCAACCTGTGGAACTCCTTGCCAGAGGATGTGGTGAAGACTAGGACTTTAACAGGGTTTTAAAAAATCCAGATAGATTCATGGAGGTTAGGTCCATCAATGGCTATTAGCCAGGGTGGGCAGGAATGGTGTCCCTACCCCCTGTTTGTCTGGAAATGGATGACAGGAGAAGGATCATGTGATGATTACCTGTTGTGTTCCCTCCTTGTGGGGCATCTGGAAAATAGGATACTGGGCTAGATGGGCCTTTGGTCTGACCCAGTGTGGACATTCTTATGTTCTTACGTGTAGGAGACATGGTTATGTGGGAGGTAAGAATAATCATGTAGAAATAGCCCCATGTAAATAATTCCACAGCCAGCTATCGTGCATGAAATACAGGCAGATGTCCCCTGCAGCTCTGGGTTCTTTCTTATGCATAGTGATATATGAAACTTTCGCCTCTATTCCAATGGAAAAAAAATCCAAAATGACTATCAGCTAAGCAAGGAGGTTATTCTCTTCTAGTAATAATGCCTGGATGCTGAGCCCCCAAAAAGTCACAGCAGTAACTGCCTGCTATCTTTCTGTCCACTATCTTCAGTGTTAACATGAATAAACGCCATCTCTCACTCACTTTCCTGTGTGTGTGACCTCTCCTCTCTTGCCTTGAATAGGCAATGCACACAAATGCTCAATCTCCAGAAGGATCAGACCATTTCTATAGGTGCTCAGGGCATTTTCAGAAAGGTAGCTTTTGGGTCAAACCAACCGAGGCTGTAGGGCTTTGACAGACCTAAGCCAGTAGCCTGCCACACTGTGGTCCTGTTGGATACTGGGAGGTGGGCAGGCTAACATTCTTATGTTTTTATGAGTAGGAGACACATCTAAAGGACCTCCCCTCAACCTACAGGGAGGGTCCACAGAGCCCAGAATGTCAAATAATTACTGGGGACAAATAAATTAAAACAGGGATGGGTGTGGAGGTCATAGGGTCAAAACAAGGTACCGGATGGAGACACTGAGCAGAGAACCCCAGACAGCGCCCACTGCCCCTCAAAGATTTTGAGAGAGAGAGCCAGTGGACACTGCCCAGTAGAACTCTGCCCAGATGTGTGAACAGATGCTGGAGTGGAAATACGCCCCACAGTCACAGGCCCCTCTCTCAGCCAACCTCTTCTCCCTGGTCTTGTACATTGCCATCTTGGCCACAGCCAGGAGGAGGATGGCGAAGAGGTCCCGCGACTTTGTGGGGCCACGGATGGGGTGTGCGTAAATTAATAGGTGAGGGAAGAAGTGCAGCCCGAACCTTAACAAGAGGTTCTGGAGGAGCCAAAAGCGGGGCTCTAACCTGGTGCACTTGATGCAGATGTGCGCCAGGGTCTCCCTCATGCCACAGACGGGGCAAGTATCGGGAACAAGGGTGAACTGTTGTACATGCCCATGCTCACCGCACCATGGATGATTCTCCAGCTGATGTGCCTGCAGGGCTGCAGAACCAAGGTGTAGTAGAGACTGACCCACCAGGGCTCCCCACCCTCTGTTGATGGTAGGGGGTCTCGCCATTTGGTAGCTGGGTGAGACACGAGGGTGGGGGAGCGAAGAACGTGAAGCATGAGTGTCTACAGATGACTCTTGGGCGCAGTTCGAAAGGGGACCTACTGCAATGTGTGCAGCTGGCTTGGGTGACGAGGGGAAGGCGGTCCGAGAGGTATGTGGGGCCTGGGGCTGATGGAGAGATCAGGCGGGCCAGGGATGAGGGGGGGGGGGGGTGCACCCTCTCGCAGGATCCTGTCAAGATAAACCTGAGCAGTGGGTGGCAAAGCATCCCTCACCTCTTCAAGTATGTGCCAGGGAGTACGTGGGGTAGAGAGCCCCATGCACTGGAAGAGCCCCCATTGTGGTCCCATTCACACTGTTTCAGAAATGTTATTGATAAGGAATTTCACTTTTGGTGGCAAGTTTCTCCTCAAATCACCAGGAGAGTGCTACTGTCTTTTCCATAGAAACCTACTGTCAATAACCATTCATAGTCTTAGTTTTACCTGCCATTTACAGGGAAAATGGGTAAGTGAGTAGTTTTGTTTGGAAGGGGTCCCATATAAAGAGAGATTAAAAAGTTTGGGACTTTTCAGCTTAGAGAAGAGGAGACTAACGGGGGGATCTGATAGAGGTCTATAAAATCATGACTGGTATGGAAAAAGTGAATAAGAAAATGTTATTTACTTATTCCCACAATATAAGAAGAAGGGGTCATCAAATGAATGTAATAAGTACCAGTTTTAAAACAAACAAAAGGAAGTTTTTCTTCACTCCGCGCACAGTCAACCTGTGGAACTCCTTGCCAGAGGATGTGGTGAAGACTAGGACTTTAACAGGGTTTTAAAAAATCCAGATAGATTCATGGAGGTTAGGTCCATCAATGGCTATTAGCCAGGGTGGGCAGGAATGGTGTCCCTACCCCCTGTTTGTCTGGAAATGGATGACAGGAGAAGGATCATGTGATGATTACCTGTTGTGTTCCCTCCTTGTGGGGCATCTGGAAAATAGGATACTGGGCTAGATGGGCCTTTGGTCTGACCCAGTGTGGACATTCTTATGTTCTTACGTGTAGGAGACATGGTTATGTGGGAGGTAAGAATAATCATGTAGAAATAGCCCCATGTAAATAATTCCACAGCCAGCTATCGTGCATGAAATACAGGCAGATGTCCCCTGCAGCTCTGGGTTCTTTCTTATGCATAGTGATATATGAAACTTTCGCCTCTATTCCAATGGAAAAAAAATCCAAAATGACTATCAGCTAAGCAAGGAGGTTATTCTCTTCTAGTAATAATGCCTGGATGCTGAGCCCCCAAAAAGTCACAGCAGTAACTGCCTGCTATCTTTCTGTCCACTATCTTCAGTGTTAACATGAATAAACGCCATCTCTCACTCACTTTCCTGTGTGTGTGACCTCTCCTCTCTTGCCTTGAATAGGCAATGCACACAAATGCTCAATCTCCAGAAGGATCAGACCATTTCTATAGGTGCTCAGGGCATTTTCAGAAAGGTAGCTTTTGGGTCAAACCAACCGAGGCTGTAGGGCTTTGACAGACCTAAGCCAGTAGCCTGCCACACTGTGGTCCTGTTGGATACTGGGAGGTGGGCAGGCTAACATTCTTATGTTTTTATGAGTAGGAGACACATCTAAAGGACCTCCCCTCAACCTACAGGGAGGGTCCACAGAGCCCAGAATGTCAAATAATTACTGGGGACAAATAAATTAAAACAGGGATGGGTGTGGAGGTCATAGGGTCAAAACAAGGTACCGGATGGAGACACTGAGCAGAGAACCCCAGACAGCGCCCACTGCCCCTCAAAGATTTTGAGAGAGAGCGCCAGTGGACACTGCCCAGTAGAACTCTGCCCAGATGTGTGAACAGATGCTGGAGTGGAAATACGCCCCACAGTCACAGGCCCCTCTCTCAGCCAACCTCTTCTCCCTGGTCTTGTACATTGCCATCTTGGCCACAGCCAGGAGGAGGATGGCGAAGAGGTCCCGCGACTTTGTGGGGCCACGGATGGGGTGTGCGTAAATTAATAGGTGAGGGAAGAAGTGCAGCCCGAACCTTAACAAGAGGTTCTGGAGGAGCCAAAAGCGGGGCTCTAACCTGGTGCACTTGATGCAGATGTGCGCCAGGGTCTCCCTCATGCCACAGACGGGGCAAGTATCGGGAACAAGGGTGAACTGTTGTACATGCCCATGCTCACCGCACCATGGATGATTCTCCAGCTGATGTGCCTGCAGGGCTGCAGAACCAAGGTGTAGTAGAGACTGACCCACCAGGGCTCCCCACCCTCTGTTGATGGTAGGGGGTCTCGCCATTTGGTAGCTGGGTGAGACACGAGGGTGGGGGAGCGAAGAACGTGAAGCATGAGTGTCTACAGATGACTCTTGGGCGCAGTTCGAAAGGGGACCTACTGCAATGTGTGCAGCTGGCTTGGGTGACGAGGGGAAGGCGGTCCGAGAGGTATGTGGGGCCTGGGGCTGATGGAGAGATCAGGCGGGCCAGGGATGAGGGGTGGGTGGGGTGCATCCTCTCGCAGGATCCTGTCAAGATAAACCTGAGCAGTGGGTGGCAAAGCATCCCTCACCTCTTCAAGTATGTGCCAGGGAGTACGTGGGGTAGAGAGCCCCATGCACTGGGGGTGTGTCTAGATTACATCCCTTTTTCAAAAAAGGGATGTAAATTAGGCACATCAATATTGCAAATGAAGCTGAAATTTGAATTTCCTGCGCTTCATTTGCATAATGACGGCCACCGCTTTTTTTTTTAAATGGGGCTTTT